TACGTAAGTTTATGGGCTTTGGAGTCAACTGAGCCAGGTCCAAATTCTGACGCTACACTTTACCAGCTGTGTGAGGTTTGACTAATTAACTCTTCTGAATGCCTTGGCCGATTAATAAAACAAGGATTACTATAGCTTGTACCTCAGAGGGGTGTTCTGAGGCTAAAATACAGAGAATGTAGGTAAGATGTATACACAAGACCTGGCACATGATAAGCAGTCAGTTAAGTGTAACAATGAAGACAAATTCAATTAAAATCTTTTTATTACCAGCTTTACCTCTCCAGCTCTGGCCACTTTCTAGAAAGCAATTAATTATCTAAAAAGGTTATACTGCTTGCAGTTGACCCCCACACTCTCTTTAGGCCTCTCATGATGATCTTTTGTAGAGTTTAGCATCTGGCACAGAGCAGGTCTTCAATAATTTGCTGAATGAACATTTGCCTAGAATCCCCTTTTTCACCCGGCAAGCTCAGTTTAGAGTTACCTCCTCCAGGAAGCTGATCCTGAACCGCCCCGGCTTGGGCTGAATTCTCCTCCACAACATCCTGTACACTTACCTTGTGGCACTAAAACCATTACTGTGCCTTTCTGCCTCGCTAGCCATTAGCTCTTCTACAGAGGTGCCAGATGTAAGTCATATTTGCATTCCGAATGCCTGGCACATGGTAGGTGCTCGATAAATGCTCAGTTCTTTTAAATTCAGCCAGTGACTTGCCCCCAAGCTAGAAAGCCCACATCCCAAACATCTCCCAAGACCCCTAGTCCTCCCCAGCAGGTTTAGCAAGAAGCCAGCCAACACGCAGCCAAACCCACTTCCTACTCCTTCTCCTGGGTCAAACCTTGGTTCCCCTAGCGGCCACATACACTCACATGCCATTGGCTGAAAATGGAGGGAGTTGGAGATGAGGAAGTTTGTTGAAATTTTGTGCTTCAAGACATTGGTACTGTCTCATTCGGAATGTGGTCACAGGGGAAGGGGGTCAACAGACACAGTCAATAAGCCAATGTCATACTTCATTAGAGAAACAAGGAATGCACAAGGCCTGAAGTCAGGGATACCATGGGGGTGGGGGCTACACACGTAGGCACTAGGCTACGTGCACAGTCTTCTGGTGACCAGCCCATAGTTGTTAACATTTGTTTTTGTATCACTCAGAGACTAGTGTAAGAAGGGATGCTGAGCTTGCCCAGATCTTTCCTATGGTTTCTGTGGTTCCTGTCTCTAGAAGCTAATGACAGTTTAGAAGGCAACAGGCAGCTACCATCCCCTAGAGTCATTTAAGGGCAGGGACATTGTTCGCTGGTCCCGGGTCAAAGATGAGGGGAGATTATCCTACCTACACTGGATTCTCAGCAACAATAAACGGTGTTGACCATGGGACAAGCCCAGGGGATGGGAGAAATCACCTCTCACTGACAGCAGGCCCCAGCCAGCCCACCAGTGAGGGATCCACCTGGAAGAGAAGGGTTAACAGGATGGCCACCATCACCATCTTGCTTTGCCCACCTGCAGATGTTCCAGAGTTCTGACAGGGGTGTCCCCTTCTTGGGCAGAGCTGTTTTATCCCATGGTCTGACACCTGACTCAAGAAGCACTCTTAGTTTTAAGAGGCATTGTCGTAAGCAGAGGGTAAAGAAGCAAAGGAACGCTCATTGACTTTGGAAAGAAGGCTTGCCAGTGGCTCCCCTACTGCCTAAAACTCCGTCCCAAGGGGATTCAAGCCCTTAAACCACATCCCACTGCTCAACATTCTCCAAATGTGTTCAACTCACTCACTCACTCCACCTCAACGTACCTCATACTATGACTACTGTTTTCTCCTGGTAGGTTTTATCTTCTAGAGGGCAGGGGCCTTGTCTTACGTATTTCTTCTGCATCACTCTTAACATCCAGCATACAGCTGGGCACAAAGTAGGGACTCAATACCTAGTCCATGTGTTTAATTCCAAAGCTAAGCATGCACCCACATTTCTACCTGATCAACAAAACATCTCTCAGGTGGGCTTGCTTCCTTTTCAGGGTTACATATTGGCTACAGGGCATATGACAACACTTGTTTCTGCTTTGGGGGTCTAATTTTAGCCCAGTTGTGGGAACTGAGCAAGTATGTCAAATATCAAAAACACACCCTTGACAGAGAGAGGGCTTTAGGGGAGCTGTCTTGCGACAAAGTGTGCACTCAGCAGTAGTCCTTCCCAGCTTGCCCTCACCCTGCGGTTCCCGTTTGGCTGAAGATACTGTCCTCAACTGCTCTGGGCGAAGAAGGGAAAAACACTTGTGGTTTGGGACCTGGAGGTACAACTCCCTGAGGTCTGAGGAAGAGGGGAAGAGGAACAAAATGCTACAAGAAAAAAAGAGCAGTAGGAAATTTGGGGATTTTTATTATTATTATTTGGGCTTCTCACAGTGGTTAGAGCCACTCTGTCTTCAGAACAATCACAGCACAGGAAATGCATCACTGAGACTGCCCAGAAAAGTCTGACCAGCTGAATCTTATTGCTTAAAATACACATATTCACAATAACTGACAAATGGTGACGTGCCTCACACAGGAATGTGTTAGTATTTGCAAATCTTTGACCGTAGCACCAAACCCTCGACCAACCCCTTCCTTGTCATCCACCTGGAAAACCAACCATCATCAAATCTCCCTGGCCCCAGACTATTCCATTAACTCCTCAGTTCATCTCTCTCCAAGCAGGGTAGTAGCCTCCAGGGCAGGGCCGGACTGTGACTGTTGGAACAAGTCCAGCTCCACCAGTTGCATTTTCGTCTTCTCGTGCCTTTGGGTAGGACGCTGCAGCAAACAGTTAGCACTCAGGCCAGTCCCCCACCAATCAAGGAAGTTTCGAGAGGGCCAGAATTCATTCATTTAATCAGTTAACTGAAGGAAGATTCATTTTGGTAAAACTTGTGCTCCTTTTGAGACACTTCAGTGAATTGTTTGGGATTTAAAAAAAAAAAAAAAGTGGCACCTGAAAGGCATCTGCAGGCTGCTGACGCACTCTGGCCACACAGCATGTTGGAGAGGAAGGTGAGCCCTGTGGCACCTGCCAAACTCTCCTGGTAATTCTGGGCAGGGCCGACATCTGGGTAGCAGCTAGTCCATGCATGTCACTGAAGATCCAACCAAGTTTGTCTGAAATTCCACCTTCATCTTCTGCCCCATTTGGTTGTGGTCAACATTATAGAGGGCTGGTACAGAGGGCTAGGAGCAGCCGAGGGAGGCAGACATGTTCAGAGCACAATTCCACTTACAGGGGACAGAACACAGGCCTCTGAGCATCCACGGAGTAATGTGCAAATTGCAGTGATGGGTAGAGTAGAACTTCTACTTAGAGCCCAGTATCTCTGGCAAACACAGGGGACTGTCGTTGACGATGCTGCTGAATACATCTGAGTACACAGCCAGACATTTGCTCAGTAAACAGTAAATGCGTAAAATAAATTACCTTGAGAGGGCCACATCTGCTCCACACGTGTGACTAACATGAGCAGAATGGCTGCTTCAAAGTATCTTCACAGGACAACAGGGCTTGGGCTCACACACAATGGACAGACATACATAGGATATCCAAAGTCACTATATTTGGACTTCACTTTGTTCAACAAGATTTTGGTTTTGTGGAATCCAAATGCAGACACTTGTACGCCTCACAGCCTTGGATTTGTCTATTTATATATATGTGTGTGTATGTATATATATATATATATATATATATAATTTTTTTTTCCCTTTCTTACCAAAACGGCAATGCCTTGTCAGAATATCATCGTTCAAGAGTGGGTGGGGGAAGAACCAAACTCTTCATATCAACAGCACACTGGACAGGGAATGTTAGTTTTGGCTGTTTGCACTCTCCATTCAGATTATTACTCTCAAAGCTCAACTGGCTATCTGAGCCCAAACTATAGTAATTAGGATCCTACAGACCTTTAGGACGGTTGCCTTCACCCTTCTACCTGGGCTACTTTACAAAGGCAACAGTAAATTGAGTTACCCCATTCAAAAAAAGGGGGGGGCAGGGAGCATAAAAACCACAGATAACCAAGGTATTATTCCAAGTGGTCAGTTTTTTAAAAAGACAAAAAAAAAAAAAAAATCAAACATTCAAATATTCAAAATCAAAGAGAAACTATTGTTATGAGAGCCAGATATTGGGGCTACCCTCAACCCCTCAGTCCATTTGTTCACAAGGAACGGTGAGGCATGAAGGTCTTCGGCTGTGGGCTTGGCGTGGGGAGGGCGCTGGTCACCTGTGGGCACAGGTGAAAAGGCAGACAAGTAGAAGTCACACCTCCATCCAGCACCATGGCTTGGGACCTCCTGCTCACCAAAAGAAGTTCCAAAGTATGCCCCCAACCCAGCCTTCATACAAAACAACTCCTGGTTCAACTGCAACCAGGTTCTTTGAAGGCAACTTGGGAAAGAGTCCAAACTTCCCTTCTCCAGAAGAGAATTCTTGCCTGTCCACTGGTAAGGTATTTGTTTTTAGCTCGCTTTTGTTGTCTGCTTTTAAAAAAAAAAAAAAAACACAGAGAAGGAAGCCTAACCCTCCACGTCTGAACCAGCCCATGTGGTGGTGCATCGGCTGGGTCAGTTGGCATTTGAGAGATCAGTGAGCCCCCTGCAAACCTACCACACAAGTGCCCATCAGTTCTCAAGCTCTCCGAGGTGTAATCTGCTTCCAGCCCTGCAGACTCTGGCAGCCATGGGAGAGCATCCCTAGGCCTCTGTGGGCGGCTGAGACCCAGAAAGCTTCTCTTAGACTAAAACGGGAGAATAAATCCACTCCACCACAAAGAATCATCTCAGGGCACAGTCCTAGACAGACCCCTTCCTCCGGGGCTCTTAAAACACATTTCTCTGACCCAAACAGTTTGGTGAGATAGGATTTGAAAGGGAGGAAAACTGAGTCGTGGTGGGATGTGTAGAATGAGTCACAAAACCAACTCTCAGCTCTCCACAACACTGTGCTTTTGCTGGGAAGAGGTGTCCCCACCCCAAACTGTATCTGGAGTTGTAGGAAAATGCAGGAGGGAAAAAAAGAAAGAACATAAGTGGCTGCACCACTTCTTCTGAGTCACTGAATGCTTCTCTTGTGGTTCTCCCCTACCCTGGTTTTGTTGCCAAGTTCTCAGGTGCAGGCAGGGCCTGCTCTAGCTGGGGGTGCTGCTGCTCTGGGAGTTTGGGGAGTCCTGCTCATTGATGGTATTCAGCAGCAGACAGGCAGGTGGCCGTGGCAAGTGGGGGTGCCCGGGCTCTTGGGCCTGCTCCTCAGAGGTTCGGTACAGCCCTTCCTCCTCGTCACCAGCCGGCCGCATGTGGCAGCTGTCACAGAAGTCCAGGGGTCCATCCAGAGCGTCGTCAATGAGCGTGTTGAATTCTTTGAGGTCATCATCATGGCCCCGGTTGCACACACACACCTCAATGCCCGAGTCACCGGTGAAGCGACGGTGTCTACCGGGTGTCTTGTCCTTGTTGTCGGGGAGGGTGCCACCATGTTCGGAGCTGTGCTCTCTCAGCAGCCCCTCCTTACATTCTGAATCCTTGTCCAGGAAGGAGCCTGGGTCCAGCTCCCCAATGCCGGCCATGGAACCGCTGGGCTCCATTCCAGGGACTTTGGTGACTGCTCGCTCGGCGGGCCCATCAGAGGGCTCAGGGTCAGTGATGCTCGGGGGTCTTGTGCTGCTTCGGCTGGGCCCAGACAAGGGGCTGCTCTGCGCCCCCTGGGGGTCCCGGGTGATATCGGCAGTGCCCGGGGGGCTGCCGCCTGCAGGGCACCGCTGTGGAGGCAGCTGCTGCTGCTGCTGCTGAAGCTGGAAGGCACTGTATGGTGGGGGAGGAGTTGGAGGTCGGTTCACCACTTCCTCATAAGGAGGTAGTAAATAGTTTGGCAAAAACCCTAAAATGGGGAGGTAGGGAGGAGAGATTACTGTGCTGGCAATTGTTCTAGGGCAGATTGCAAAGCTCACACTAAACCCAGACACTGTCTCGTCCCATCCCCCTAACTACCCATCATGTGACACTTCCAGCACCTGACAGTGAGCACAAGCGAGGGCAGGAAGACATTTTGCATAGAAACAGGAACAGGTTGCCATTGGCCTAATCCAGCTTCTGAAGTCGGAGCATCCCTAAGGCTGCCTCATAAGCCAGTCTATAAGTGAAGGCAGAGGGTTAGGCCAAAGTAGGAGAAGGCCAAGAAATGACTTCTGCCTGGAATGGACCTGTTCCCACGTGCAAAGGCACCTCACATTCCTTGTTCAGACTGTCCTCCATTTGAGCCCACAGGCCTTAGGGCCTGAGATCTTCATTAAGACTTTCTGGCCACTTGTCTCCTCCCTCTACCCTTTCCAGATGTACCATGAATAGGGCCTGTTGCGGTAGGTCAGAAGACTGTGTGGCTGAACAAGGTCTGGAAAAACAAACTGCACCTCACCTTGACTCAGCTCAAGAGAGGGTGGGTTCCAGCAAGAGGTGAGGGGAGAGCCTCTGCCATCCAAGGCTTATTAAGAACATACCAGGTGGGTTCTCTTTTGAATGTAGTGAATGTCTTAAGACATAGATAATCTATTCATGATATCACAATCATTGCTAGCATTTATTGAGCACTTACTATGTGCCAGGCACTGTGCTAAGCATGTCACCTCTCCTAGATGTGGAACTCGAGCAATTATGAGCAGTTTATTTTGTAAAACACACTGCAGAGTAGCTTTGGATGAGCGACACCACTGGGCCTTCGCTTGTCTTCAGAGGACCCATAGAAGAAGCCCTGGCGAACGCTCTTCAGTGAGCTGCCAAGTGTCTTGGTTCTCAGGAAGTCCCAATGCCACTCTACCATACCTGCCCCTGACAGCAGTCTCTGCTCAGGTATGTCACATGGCAGTAAACACCTGGGCCTCGGAACTCCAAATCTCATTTAGCTGATATTTTATGTCATCTGATTCTCTGCACTCTGCACCTTTTCAAATAAATCTGCCAAAGGAGCAGAAGCCTGGCCAAACGTAGCCACCATGAGACTTATGAGACTTAGAATGGCCACATGGCTTCAGGGAGCTGCAGCCACAAAACCTGCTCCCCTGTGCAAAAACTGAGCATCCCCTTGTTCCCATACTAACCAGCCCCTGCGCTATGTAGGCCAAGAAGAGCAAATCCCTTCTGCCTATGAGGCCCTGGCCCCAATGCAGTTTGGCCTCTGGATCTGTGTGCCTGGGCTCCTGAGGGTAGGGCATGGCGGCTTTTGGTGTACGTACTGAAATAAAATGGCAGCGCTGAGTAATTGTGGGCTTCCCGGTAGGCGATCAGGTTGATTTCATGTTGCCGCTGCTGGGCCTGAAGGCGGTGCTTAGCTCGGCGGTGGTGGCAGACACAGCAGCAGCTCAGGATGATGATGATGGTACACACCAGCCAGAACCCTGGGGGGTGGAGAGGCGAGACAGAGGCACACACACGTGGTGAATATCAGCAGAAGTGCCTCTCAGAACAACCAGGTCCCACAACAGCACCCATGTGGTTGAAAGTGGCACTGTGATCCCGCTAGGTGTACAGGGTGCTCCCTCACTATTTCCCTAGATGCTAACAGACAGAAGTGCTCCTAATGGACACGAAGTACAGTATGTGCCTGAGGAGGAGATGACTACGACTGCCCTCTGAAGAAACTGCAAACTCCCTTAAGCCAACTGTGTGGGATAAAGGAGAAGAGCTATTCCTGACACCAGTAAAATCGGAGGGAGAAGTCATCAGGAGATGGGCATCCACCTTAAACAGGGACAACAGACGACAGCCACTGCCTTTAGGAGACCTTCCACTCTTATTACTCACGTTCACCTTTTACAACTCCGTTTTAATACCCCTCTTCCCAACCTGTTCTCTAAGAATGCTATTTAGCACATGCTGTTGTTGTTGTTAAGTGCCTTCGGATAGTGACCCTTTATAGGGTTTCCAAGGAGTAGCTAGTTGAGTTTGAACCGCTGACCTTGTGGGTCAAACTAACCTTGCGATTCAGTGCTTTATCCCACAGCGCCACACCAGAACTCTATTTAGCACACAGACAAGGCTATCCTACTAATATGCAACCACGGGAGAAATGGACTTGGTATTCTCTTCCTAGGCCACGAAGTGGGTGTGCTTGGATGTGCTCCATTATCACCTGGGGATGAGAGCTTAATTTTGGGAGCCTTGGTGGCTGCTGCTGCTACTGCTATATACAGTTCTACTCATCTTTGTCCGATTTATTCTATCAGCAATAGATGCCTGTTGACCATGCTCTGCTACAAACGGTCTTCACTAAGAACTTGTGAATGTGGCATATTATACATGCCTCACCCTGTGAAATTACATGTAGAATATGTACTGCATGTTCATCGTTTTGCAGTAGAGGGCAGGGATGTAAAGATGATAGCACCAAAAGAGAACACCGACTTCAGGGAATATCCAAGGACCACAGGGGAAGGTAGGACTCCTAGTGTGGTGCTATGGGATCAGGACTGGATTGGCAGTTCAAACCCACCAGCTGCTCCTTGGAACTCTATAGAGTGGCTATGAGTTGGAATCGACTCAACAACTCTTAACAACTTAACAACATCATATGGCAAGTTAATGCCAGGCAACTCTCCAGCCCTCTAAATCCTCCTGTATTTCAGGCTTGTGGGCAGTAAATACATCCACTTAGTAGTGCAGCATACTCGTCCTCTCTTGAAGAGACCTCTGTGAAAAGGCGACAGGCTTTCTTGGTGTCCTCTCCCCGACACCCCTGATCAGGTCCCGAGGAGAGCTACCAAGCCTATTTCTTGCTGCCAACACAGAGGCTGGTTCAACCAAATCAGAAAGAGTCCTTCATGTTCCCACAACTCGGGATATTAGCAATTGTGCTTCCTGATTCTTACGGTTCTCTTGATGTCAGCAAGAAGATCAAGGGCTTCTTCAATGACAAGAGTCACTCTAATTAAAGGTGGTAAAATTCTAATTGTCTCAGGTCCAACTCTTCCCTAGAGAGTGTAAATGACTTCCTCTGCTCTTGCTATAATCCGTTACAGTTCCACCTCCCATTGCTACAATCTATGTCCATTTCACAGTGGCCTGTGGTTGCACTAGACACAAGGTCATTAGCAGCCTCCCTTTCTTCTTCCCTGCTCCTCCAGGGAGGGGTGGAGGAACACGGGAGAAGGCCCAAAGTCCTCTCTTCTCTGGATGAATCATTTATTCTCATTTCCCATTGTGTTGTCTCTTGAATCATACTTAATAAGAATCTCACAGAAGGACAGTGTAAGACTGTCTCCACAATCTTCAAATGTAAGCCGAAAAGGTTTGCATTATATAGGAGTCCTGGTGTGGTGCTATGAGATAATGCACTGGACCACGGGATCAGTCTGAACCACAAGGTCAGCAGTTCAAGATCACCAGGCACTCCTTGGAAACTCTACACACGGTCACTGAGTTGGAACGGACTCAACAGCAACTTAACAACAACAATATATGTATGAGCATCTAGAAAGCTCTAATAAAAAAGCATCATCCTTGTGGTTGGTTGATGATGCATGGAGGGGATTGTAACCATGGCAATGAAACAATAGACGATAGGATGAATGTAAAGCTAATGTTCTCCCATGTAAACTATTACATAATTCACAGTAAAACATTAAGGAAAAAAAAAAGCATCATCCCTTCAGTGGATACGAAGTGAGGGGAGACTCACAAGAACACCCAAACTTGCAAGACAGTACCCATTTGACCTAGCCTTGATGGCTTCATAATCAGAACTAGACTAGAGGAAGATTAAAAAAAATAATTTTTGATAAAGGAAACAAGGGCAAATGGCTACAATTTTATGAACTTGACCTATACTCATAGAAGTAGTAGCTCAAAATACCAACAGAGAGGAAGGAGTCTTCATATCAAGTATTAATGCTATCCCCTCTGTATACACGGTAGATAGGGACGGGCAACTTAAACATTGGCTACCTAAACCAAGGGGGTGATAAAGGCACGAAGTGACTGGCTTACAAGATTTCAAGAGGGAGTTCAGTTCAAGAGTGTCTGGGGGAAGACAAAGTCCCCACTGAATAGTTTTCATCTTGTCTAGACAGTTCAGGTGAAAAGAGATGAGGATAAAATTCTTATGATTTAATAGTGAGTAATTGTTATCATGACTAATTGCAATTGTCACAATTGTAAAGGTAGAAGTTTTATAACAAAAATAGGGGAGTAGTTACTCTTACAGTCCAGAAACAGAGGACCCTAGGGCCACCAAGGGAGAAGAGCACAAGCGGAATGCGGGACCGATGCAGAGAAGCAACAACACCAGAGACGGAGGCAGAGATGATGACATAGAGAGAGGGAGCAGCTGAGGACTTTTAAATACATAGAAAGAAAGGGACTGATAGCTGGTGGCCAAGACGCAGACTTGCAGAATGTGTCCTTTGGTGGTTTAAATTATTGCATATACCTAAGTGTTTTTTGTTTTTTTTTTTAAAAAGAGCTAAAATGAATAGAGAGAAATACTGTTAACTGATGGTACATGGAAGGGATTATAATCATTGTTAATCAAACAAAGTATATGATTTGTTGACTGTAAAACTGATGATCTGCCCTGTAAACTTTCACTCAATTCACAATAAAAACCTAAAAGAAAAAAAAAAAAGCATCATCCCTACTCTCCTCACTTTAGGGGGACAGGATAAGATGCAAACAATCCCCCAAAATGCCCATTTCAGACTTTAAACCCTACTAGATATAAGGATATAATATAGCTAGTAATAATGTACTCAAAGAATAGGTAAAGAGTCAGAGAAATGTTCACAATATGTAAAGTGAGCACACAGGATATCTAGAGCCCTGGTGGTGTGATGGTTAAGTGTACTGTTGTTAACTGAAAGGTTGGCAGTTCAAACCCACCCAGAGGCTCTGAGAGAATACCACAGCAATCTGCTACCATAAAGATTACAGATCAGAAAACCTTACTCTGTTCCACGGACTCATTATGACTCAGAATCGACTCAATGGCACCAAACACACACATACACACACATACACACACACATATACATACATACACATATACACACACACACACACACACACATACACACACATATATACATACATATCTGGAAAAAAGAAAAACAAAAACAAAGGCTTATCTTTAGGTAGGAGGGTTAGGGAAAATTTTAATTTTCTTTTCGAGATTATTTTCTTCTTTTAAGGTATGAAACTAGAAACAAATTAAAATTTAAAGACATTTTAAATGTGTGATTAACTTTGGGGGAGTGGCTTTTATTTTTGAAAAATCATTTCTGGATAGGTTTTTCAATTCCTTTGGGAATACAGCCCATACAATGAAATAATAGGAATTATTTTTAAATTATTTGCTGTAAAAAATATATATATGGCTGGCTGTGTGTCATGGAGTCGGTTCCAACTCATACCGACCCTGTACAGGGTTTCCGAGGATGTAAATCTTTACGGGAGCAGAACGCCTCATTTTTCTCCTGTGGAGCAGCTGGTAGTTTCAAACTGCTGACCTTGTGGGTCACAGCTTGATTCATAACTACTATGTTACCAGAGCTCCATATATATATATACATACATATACACACATATATAATATGTATTTCAATATATTATTAAAAGTAATATGTTTTTCTCAATACAAAATGATCAGAGGAATAATTTTAAGGTCAGTTGTAAGTTATTGAAAATAGATTATAATATTATTTGCTCTGTATTCTTAAGTAACTTTGAATTCTTTCCATTACAAATACTATGTGTATTATTTTTATCATCTGCTTTGGAATTACACATTTGTTTTTAAAATTCTTAAGTATTTCCATATGTCTCTCTTGTCAGAATGAGTTAAATCAAATTAACCTTGTTAAAAGAAAAAAGTCCTTCTCTCCCCAAAGAGACCTGCAAATGAATACATCTCTGATTTTTACAAAAACGACTTGTACTAGGACACAATATTCCAAAAGATCCCACTGACATTTAGGGTGTAGTCTCTGGCAGTGGCTCTTTCTGTCTCCCTACTACCACCACCACCACCAGGGACGTGCTAGCTGAATCTCCTCACAAAACCATTGCCTCTATAGAGTCCCCTAGCCTGGGCAACACCTACTTGGTTTCAGCAGGTGCTCAGTGCTCAACCAAGCCTTCTTGCTGAGGCCTGACATCAAGAAAGTTGTTGGCATACAATAATGGCAGTGACTTTTCCCCCTTTACCCATCAGCAGACAAAAGAGTCTTATTCTCAACCAGAGTACTAAAGTTAGGAAAGTATCACTCTTTGTCATTTCCAAAGTAACTACTGAAATTGGCTTGATTTAACTTCCATTTTCTCCTTGTGAATGTGGACCGATTTAAGACTAGATACTCTTGGTGGAATGGAAACTATGGGCGTCCTTCAACCTCGCCTTCACGCC